AAAATTCAACATAATTGTTTTATTCTTTTTTTTTAAATTTAGTAAACAAGAAAAAAATAATTTTAAAATTTCTAAAATTTATTAAAACAACATTTTCTCTTTTTAATTACACAATAAAATATATTATAACTATTTAAAAAGAGAGAGAGAAAGAAAGACAAAAAATTTTACTAATAAATTATTCTTTTTTTTTAAATTTAGTAAACAAGAAAAAAATAATTTTAAAATTTCTAAAATTTATTATAAAAACATTTTCTCTTTTTAATTACACAATAAAATATATTATAACTATTTAAAAAGAGAGAGAGAAAGAAAGACAAAAAATTTTGCTACTAATAAAAAATAAACAAAAATGATGTTTAATATTTTAATGAGAAATTTAGAATAAGATAATATTCTTGTAAGGTGATATTACATAAATCCTAAATTATATTCAAAAGTCAATCAAAGACCATAAGCGACGCATAAAAGTTCTCTTTCTCTCTCCTTTCACTCGATTTTTTTCTCTTTACTACTCACACATGCGTGACTTGGGCACGTAATACAAAAGGACGCTACACAACATTAACACGATTAACGAGAGGCGCTTCAGGTAAGTGATCCACTCAAGTACGCTGAATTTCTCGTCAAAATAACCTGACGAGTAAAGGAGGAAGTCATTTGGACGACGAGAGGATGTTACTTTCTCTTACCGTATCCATTATAAGATTTGGTAGACACGCATTGCATAGCAAGCGCGATGATAAACACTACGAATTTCATGGTCGACGAAAGATGCAATTTTTTAAGTATTATTTTCCATGTTCCAATTTCTCTCATTAATTTTACGATATTCCAGGAAAAGAAAAAAAGAAAGAGGATTTTGAGTGACACACGTGCATTCTGAAGCAATGTCCATCACGACGTAAGAGACAGTTTCACTTCGTTTTGAGCATTTATGTCAAACTCATTATGCCTTAATTTCGCTTGGTAACCATAATAACTAATATAACGATAAGGCAATTTATGAGCTCTGTTACACGGCACCCTTAATCGGGTTTAATAACATCCGTAGTTTTAAAACCAAGCCAATCACAGCTATTCCTCTGAAGAATGGAATGACTGTGATTGGCCAGCCTTAGAACTACGGATGTTATTAAATCCGATTAAGGGTGATGTGTAAACGTAGTCATTGATTATTATTTCTACGAGATTTTCGCTTTGTAATTATACTGACATGTCGCGTAAAGAAATAGTGACACGTGTAAGATTTACATCTTAATTTTTTATTACGCTCTGAGAACTTTACAATATAATACAAAGGAAACATGTCATATGTATCGACCGTCTTTACTACAATCTAACGAGGGTGGGTTACACGCACACGTAAACGTACGAGAAAATTATTTCGTACAAATCGGCGCGATAGGTTGAAAGCACAGCGTGCGCAAGCGGGGACTCGCACTACTCGCTAAATAGTGCCTCTATAAAGCAACGTCGCTTCGTAATTTTCGTAACTACCCGAAGACTAAAATCTCCACATAATTCGACCAAATAAGAAGCGACATATCGAGCTATTTAACAATAAGTAAGAACACAACTTAAAAATATATTATTATCTTTTACGAAATACTGTTTAATTCGGTATACATAAATTCTAAAGTAAGACAAACCGATAAGGACATTCGCTAAACGCTCGTCCTTGTCGGCTAGTCCAGAAAGACTGCCCAACGAGTCCATATAGTTGCCTGTCAATTTAATAGCAAAAAAAAAAATACTGTACGCTCACATTCGAGCGACGAATTCTATTGCCACGAAGAGTCAATCTCGTGAGTTTTAAGTCTTAAAACTACGATATAATTCTTATCAATAATCATCTCGCATTACAACTTTTGCTAAACGTAGATTGCTCTTTTAAATATCGGGGCAAATGCCAGTGTTTGCTGGATTAAGTGAACTCATGCATAATAACGTATGCTAACGTAAATAATGTAATATTATATAATAAAATAAAACGGAGTAATAATGATAAAATCATTAATAGTAATAATAATATAATAGTAAATAATAGTAATGTGAATCACATACGCGCGTACACGTAACCATTGGCGAAAAAAATGATGTTATCTTATTTGTACCAAGATAACCTTGTGATATGTATTTTCGCTCATTTGGCACCTCGTAAAAAATACTCGAGGGCAAGAGATTGGGCTGTCATGAATTACTTCATCCACAAATGATTTATTATTCAATAAAGCTGTGCGGTTATCTTGATGCTACCAACAATATTACGTTGAGTAATATTCGCATATATACCGAAGATTTGTCGTTATTTACGTTCGTAACCGGTGCGCGTACACGCGTACAACATACTAATAAACGACTTTATACAATGGCAGATAAATTGATGAGCGGAACAAGGATGATGATGACGATGAATTGCTCCATCGAACCTATAAGTTGAAGTCTTAACGCAGTTAAAAACGCTTAATTTGAAACTAATATCTTTCGATCTATAATTTTATCAAAATCACCGATCAAGCTAACACATTCTCGAAATATATTATTTAAAGGCGTATCATTAGATATAATCATTAAAACAAATACAATAGATTATCAAAAATTATTGTCACCAGAGTTCAGAAAAGTGATTATTGATCTAAAACACATGATCGACTTCAAGGTTTGATGGTTCGCAAGAGGAATAATCGAATCAATATAACGAAGATGCGGAAGTTCTCATTTTTACGCAAAATGTTTCGCCTTCATTTTGTTGACAGCATTCGTGAGGTGGGTCATCTCGGTGTTGAGTTGAGAAATCAGATCCTCCAGTCTATCAACGCTATCGAGGACTTCGACGCGTTGCGTATGCGGATTGTATCTGACCTCGAACGGTCGACTCATGGTAGCCACCTGCGAGAGAAACCAAGACTCGTGACTAAGCTCGTTTACTCAAATAAGAAATTACAGTCACCGGAATAGAATTGCTTATATTTATCAATGATTACTTCCTTCTTGTACAAAAAATAATTATGAGAAACTAAAGATATTTAACATCAAGGATATTCACGAATATAACATCAAGGATATTGAAGAATACAAAAAAGGAAAATTATTTCGAATTCTTCAGTTAATTGGTTTCGTTATTTTCAAACTAATTAATAATGTGTAGTAATAAAATTAGAGCAAGTTTTGAAAAATTGCAGAAAGTAGATCAAAACTCATTCCATGAATAATACTGAGCAGACAACCATTTGAATGCATGATGGAAATAATTAACGCGCTTACCCAGCGACGGAATTTCTCCTTGGCATCATCAAAGCTTTCGGCTACGTAATATATCGGCTGATATTCCTGATCTTGATATTTCTGAAGAGCGGTGGTTGACGGATCAAATGATCGGTGCTCACATTTATCGCTTAACGCATGCAGGAGTTCGCCATAGGCCGACAACAAACCAGCACCGTAAGCTTTGATTTCAGTGCCTTCCTTGCAGAGACCGAACTCGATCGTGAACCAATAGATGGTCGACAATTTCTCGATTTCCTCATCCGAAGCACCGAGGGACGCCAGACCGATCTCTTGCGAGAATTGAGCAAAACTAGGATCAGCCAGAAGCGGCATATGGCCCAAGAGCTCATGGATGCAGTCTCTGTAAATAAAAACAAAACGAACTTGAAGATTTACGTCACGTACTCAAATCGAAATTTGACGTTCCGCGTTTAAATTTATCATTTATGTTCATTTTAAATACATGAAGATTCTTGATATACAATTTGTTGCAATAATTCAATAATGCTCAATTTAGCTGCCAGATTTTAACTAAATCATTAAATAAGTTGGACGTGCTAAAGTCATTTAAAATACGTCGCTAGATAAATGGCGCGAATCAAATTGAAACTCCAGGGAGCCATTCTATTCTTACAATCTGCAGAGCTATCGACAGTCCCTGAAAATCGAACTGTAACGCGACTCGCTACGCGGAGGAACGATTTCGTAACTGCGGAACTGAGTTATCAACGCCATCGCGTCGTTAAAAGCCAATTAGAGTTCCATTACGAGCTTAGAGAGGCGCGGTAATTCTATTATCATCGTTCTCTATGTACCCGGTGCAGGCTCCCGTCATAACGCAATATCGATTGCCTTGTAGTTTGACACGAAGAGGCAACTGTGACATGGACCTGGAGCGACCTTTATAATGTACGATTTTTAAGATGCACTGCAGCTTTGCTCCCTCGCATGACATTTTATCAAGTCTCAATATATCCTGTGCAATATTCTCTTTGTGCTTTGTATAACACATATATCATAAAAATTTATAAAATGATTTGTAAAATAATACATGTGCGTAATATATTCGAATGCAATCATCATCTCTTGAATGAATAATATAATTATATACATAATTTTTAGACGAAAGTTTTTGATATGCTATGCTAGCGAAAGTAAGAGATAAAAAATTTTGAAAAACTTACGGCTCGGGAGTGTGATACGGGCTATTAATATGACGGATGTATTGGGTGCTTTGGAATATCCTGAAGGCAAGGCTGGACAAGAAGTCGCGCGCTGTCAAGAGACCGGCGGCCGGTCGAAGAGTGAATCCTGTGCTTTTCTTGAGGAAATCGCTGACCTCCTGCAGCTGCGGTATACGATGAGGCTCAAAGATCCTCTCTTCCTGCAGTTTCTTGAAAACCCTCTGATATTCCACGCATGCATGCTTCGGCACTAGATCCAGCACGGTGATAAAAACGCGCGACCAAGTCTCGTTCTCCGTCTCGGTGTAAGGAATGCTGGGTATCGGATCGCCGTACTTGTAAGCGAAAGCAATTTCGGCAATGACCTTGCGACGAGCGCGATACTCCTTGTCGGCGAAGCCCGGGTGACTCATGTCGAGATCCGGCTCGTACTTGGTCATTAGATGATTGCAATTGTCGAGCTCGGAAGCGTGACGGGGGAACCAGGGATCTTTGATGCTAACGGAATTGTCGGCAAGCAGGGTCACGCCGTCCAAGGCCGAGCTTTGTCGCAGATTTCTAATCAGCTGAAGCAGACTCTGCTTGCTCATGTCAATCTTGACCAAGACTTCAAACTGCAAACCCTCCTTCTTTGAAGGTCGCGACTCGACATGCGTGATTATGCCCTTGAAATTTTCGATTGTCTTCAAAATCCTGCCCAAAGAACCAATGCCTTCTCGCAGTCTCAGCACCAACGCTGCTTTCTGCACGCCCTGCTCACTCTCCGGAGACTCCGCTATGGTCTTCGCAAGTACTATTTCCTCCTCGGTTAATCCGGAATCTACGGAAAATCAGTCTAGTTACGCTTAATGATTCCATTAGAAGAAATTTTTTTAACTCATTATCTTTCTGAATTTTTTTAAAGATTCTCGTCACGCTAAGTGACATCGTTTTAACATACGAGGGAACGTGGCCATTTTACACGATACATAAAATAAAAAAGTGCTCGTCGCGTAAATTCGACCATAAAACTTTCCGGGAACGACTCTTTTCGGGCGTAACTTCTCGCGAATACCCTAAGTGACTTCCGCGGACGGTGATAATCGGGCAATTCAAAGTCCATTTCCTCATAGCGCCTTATCGTCGCGTCGGAAACGGCACCGTTTCTACTCGGCCGCGGGGGTGGTGAAAAAGTGGCAAAGTAGCCTTCATTGTCGCGGGCGCGAACGTGCCGGCGAGATGGGAAGCAACGCGAAAAGGAATAACCGTGTTACACATTTTTACGCGAGCTCGCTTGCGGGATCTCGAGAAAGAGTCTGCCCCGGTAATACGATTCTAAATGCACAAAGCAGCTTCAGAAGGCGTGGGCGGCTTGGAAAGAGATGGAAAGAGCTCGCGGACGTAATTTACCCCAAGTGTCGGCCGAGCACTCGTCCCGTATGCCGTCGACAATAGCGACCGTTTCACCCTCCATTTACCGCCCTATCCTATCCACCGTACACTATGCGCTTATTTTCTTCACTTATTTCCTGTTTCACTTATTTATATAATAGCACAACATGATATATTTCGCGACGCGAAAACTAGAAATGACCGATTACTATCAGAGGAAACTATCAAAAGACGCACTTACCGTCATCATCGTCTTCATCTGGCTTTCCATCGCTATCCGAAGCCTCCGCTTTCGCTTCTGGAAATTACAAGTGAATTCGTGCTCATGCCATATGCAACATTTATGAAAAAAGTCGTATTATCTTGGATAGACTTGGCGGCAAATGCATTTGACAGTTCGATTCGTTCAATTTCATATCGTAATATAAGTATATTTCATAAATATACGCGAGTATTGTCACATTAGATAAAATTGTCGTATATTAATACAACATGTCTTATATAAATGTATCTCACGCTCCAGTTATCCAAAGATCGTTATAATTTATGCGCAACATCTATGTACAAACCTTCCTTCTTTGCTGCGCAAATTAACGACTCTACTTGTTCGTCGTCACTTGATGAAACATCAACATAATGCTCTCCTTGTCCCTGTTGCTCCTGAGTACAAGTGATTGTCTGATCGGCATTCGTGTCTGTCCAATCGAACAAAGAAACGTGTCATGCAACATCGATATACACACATGTATTTTCGCGTTATTTTTATATAATAAAATGTCACACCGATAAAATTTCATATTATTTATGTGTAAAAAACATTGACACATATTAATCTCTTAAATATTAAACATCCACATATCTGTATTACAAGCACACATACTTGCATAAATAAAATAATCTTTTAGATAGTAAATCAAACACATCTGATACTGTGCAAAGTAGATAAAGTACTTTTTATCCATTTTTTATACATACTTCTCTGTCTTTTTCTCAAACTAATACATTAATAATACGATGATAAAAATTATACATAATTTTAAAAACATGTACCAAGCCAAAAAATATTCGCAAGACTCACCATTAGCTCGTTGTCGAGCTTCCTCGAGTACGCTTTGCTTCGTCTGCTTGACGACCAACGTCTCAAAGCGAGCATCGTCTACGAGGGAACGTCTTCGCGCTGGATATCCGTTCTGGAAATATAAATAAAGAGAATGCAATTTATATAAAATTTATATAAAACTGTCATATAAGAGTGCGTCAGTAACAGCATCGATTGCTGAGACAGCAATGTTTCTGTATCACTTCTGTACAACCAAATTCTAGAATTTTATTTATATATGATAGAATTATTTTTGTTCTGTTGCATTTTACTATTCACGCACAAGCAATTACAAATTTGACTTAGAACTTTAAAGGACGGATATCCTCTCGCCTTAACTAGCTAGGTTTCACTTTCCGCTGTTCATGGCTACCTTTGACATGAATTCCGGCACGGAAATCTTGCTTGTCAGCTCGATCGAAGAGCGGTGGTTGACGGATCAAATGATCGGTGCTCACATTTATCGCTTAACGCATGCAGGAGTTCGCCATAGGCCGACAACAAACCAGCACCGTAAGCTTTGATTTCAGTGCCTTCCTTGCAGAGACCGAACTCGATCGTGAACCAATAGATGGTCGACAATTTCTCGATTTCCTCATCCGAAGCACCGAGGGACGCCAGACCGATCTCTTGCGAGAATTGAGCAAAACTAGGATCAGCCAGAAGCGGCATATGGCCCAAGAGCTCATGGATGCAGTCTCTGTAAATAAAAACAAAACGAACTTGAAGATTTACGTCACGTACTCAAATCGAAATTTGACGTTCCGCGTTTAAATTTATCATTTATGTTCATTTTAAATACATGAAGATTCTTGATATACAATTTGTTGCAATAATTCAATAATGCTCAATTTAGCTGCCAGATTTTAACTAAATCATTAAATAAGTTGGACGTGCTAAAGTCATTTAAAATACGTCGCTAGATAAATGGCGCGAATCAAATTGAAACTCCAGGGAGCCATTCTATTCTTACAATCTGCAGAGCTATCGACAGTCCCTGAAAATCGAACTGTAACGCGACTCGCTACGCGGAGGAACGATTTCGTAACTGCGGAACTGAGTTATCAACGCCATCGCGTCGTTAAAAGCCAATTAGAGTTCCATTACGAGCTTAGAGAGGCGCGGTAATTCTATTATCATCGTTCTCTATGTACCCGGTGCAGGCTCCCGTCATAACGCAATATCGATTGCCTTGTAGTTTGACACGAAGAGGCAACTGTGACATGGACCTGGAGCGACCTTTATAATGTACGATTTTTAAGATGCACTGCAGCTTTGCTCCCTCGCATGACATTTTATCAAGTCTCAATATATCCTGTGCAATATTCTCTTTGTGCTTTGTATAACACATATATCATAAAAATTTATAAAATGATTTGTAAAATAATACATGTGCGTAATATATTCGAATGCAATCATCATCTCTTGAATGAATAATATAATTATATACATAATTTTTAGACGAAAGTTTTTGATATGCTATGCTAGCGAAAGTAAGAGATAAAAAATTTTGAAAAACTTACGGCTCGGGAGTGTGATACGGGCTATTAATATGACGGATGTATTGGGTGCTTTGGAATATCCTGAAGGCAAGGCTGGACAAGAAGTCGCGCGCTGTCAAGAGACCGGCGGCCGGTCGAAGAGTGAATCCTGTGCTTTTCTTGAGGAAATCGCTGACCTCCTGCAGCTGCGGTATACGATGAGGCTCAAAGATCCTCTCTTCCTGCAGTTTCTTGAAAACCCTCTGATATTCCACGCATGCATGCTTCGGCACTAGATCCAGCACGGTGATAAAAACGCGCGACCAAGTCTCGTTCTCCGTCTCGGTGTAAGGAATGCTGGGTATCGGATCGCCGTACTTGTAAGCGAAAGCAATTTCGGCAATGACCTTGCGACGAGCGCGATACTCCTTGTCGGCGAAGCCCGGGTGACTCATGTCGAGATCCGGCTCGTACTTGGTCATTAGATGATTGCAATTGTCGAGCTCGGAAGCGTGACGGGGGAACCAGGGATCTTTGATGCTAACGGAATTGTCGGCAAGCAGGGTCACGCCGTCCAAGGCCGAGCTTTGTCGCAGATTTCTAATCAGCTGAAGCAGACTCTGCTTGCTCATGTCAATCTTGACCAAGACTTCAAACTGCAAACCCTCCTTCTTTGAAGGTCGCGACTCGACATGCGTGATTATGCCCTTGAAATTTTCGATTGTCTTCAAAATCCTGCCCAAAGAACCAATGCCTTCTCGCAGTCTCAGCACCAACGCTGCTTTCTGCACGCCCTGCTCACTCTCCGGAGACTCCGCTATGGTCTTCGCAAGTACTATTTCCTCCTCGGTTAATCCGGAATCTACGGAAAATCAGTCTAGTTACGCTTAATGATTCCATTAGAAGAAATTTTTTTAACTCATTATCTTTCTGAATTTTTTTAAAGATTCTCGTCACGCTAAGTGACATCGTTTTAACATACGAGGGAACGTGGCCATTTTACACGATACATAAAATAAAAAAGTGCTCGTCGCGTAAATTCGACCATAAAACTTTCCGGGAACGACTCTTTTCGGGCGTAACTTCTCGCGAATACCCTAAGTGACTTCCGCGGACGGTGATAATCGGGCAATTCAAAGTCCATTTCCTCATAGCGCCTTATCGTCGCGTCGGAAACGGCACCGTTTCTACTCGGCCGCGGGGGTGGTGAAAAAGTGGCAAAGTAGCCTTCATTGTCGCGGGCGCGAACGTGCCGGCGAGATGGGAAGCAACGCGAAAAGGAATAACCGTGTTACACATTTTTACGCGAGCTCGCTTGCGGGATCTCGAGAAAGAGTCTGCCCCGGTAATACGATTCTAAATGCACAAAGCAGCTTCAGAAGGCGTGGGCGGCTTGGAAAGAGATGGAAAGAGCTCGCGGACGTAATTTACCCCAAGTGTCGGCCGAGCACTCGTCCCGTATGCCGTCGACAATAGCGACCGTTTCACCCTCCATTTACCGTCCTATCCTATCCACCGTACATCATGCGCTTATTTTCTTCACTTATTTCTTGTTTCACTTATTTATATAATAGCACAACATGATATTTCGCGACGCGAAAACTAGAAATGACCAATTACTATCAGAGGAAACTATCAAAAGACGCACTTACCGTCATCATCGTCTTCATCTGGCTTTCTCCTCGGTTAATCCGGAATCTACGGAAAATCAGTCTAGTTACGCTTAATGATTCCATTAGAAGAAATTTTTTTAACTCATTATCTTTCTGAATTTTTTTAAAGATTCTCGTCACGCTAAGTGACATCGTTTTAACATACGAGGGAACGTGGCCATTTTACACGATACATAAAATAAAAAAGTGCTCGTCGCGTAAATTCGACCATAAAACTTTCCGGGAACGACTCTTTTCGGGCGTAACTTCTCGCGAATACCCTAAGTGACTTCCGCGGACGGTGATAATCGGGCAATTCAAAGTCCATTTCCTCATAGCGCCTTATCGTCGCGTCGGAAACGGCACCGTTTCTACTCGGCCGCGGGGGTGGTGAAAAAGTGGCAAAGTAGCCTTCATTGTCGCGGGCGCGAACGTGCCGGCGAGATGGGAAGCAACGCGAAAAGGAATAACCGTGTTACACATTTTTACGCGAGCTCGCTTGCGGGATCTCGAGAAAGAGTCTGCCCCGGTAATACGATTCTAAATGCACAAAGCAGCTTCAGAAGGCGTGGGCGGCTTGGAAAGAGATGGAAAGAGCTCGCGGACGTAATTTACCCCAAGTGTCGGCCGAGCACTCGTCCCGTATGCCGTCGACAATAGCGACCGTTTCACCCTCCATTTACCGCCCTATCCTATCCACCGTACACTATGCGCTTATTTTCTTCACTTATTTCCTGTTTCACTTATTTATATAATAGCACAACATGATATATTTCGCGACGCGAAAACTAGAAATGACCGATTACTATCAGAGGAAACTATCAAAAGACGCACTTACCGTCATCATCGTCTTCATCTGGCTTTCCATCGCTATCCGAAGCCTCCGCTTTCGCTTCTGGAAATTACAAGTGAATTCGTGCTCATGCCATATGCAACATTTATGAAAAAAGTCGTATTATCTTGGATAGACTTGGCGGCAAATGCATTTGACAGTTCGATTCGTTCAATTTCATATCGTAATATAAGTATATTTCATAAATATACGCGAGTATTGTCACATTAGATAAAATTGTCGTATATTAATACAACATGTCTTATATAAATGTATCTCACGCTCCAGTTATCCAAAGATCGTTATAATTTATGCGCAACATCTATGTACAAACCTTCCTTCTTTGCTGCGCAAATTAACGACTCTACTTGTTCGTCGTCACTTGATGAAACATCAACATAATGCTCTCCTTGTCCCTGTTGCTCCTGAGTACAAGTGATTGTCTGATCGGCATTCGTGTCTGTCCAATCGAACAAAGAAACGTGTCATGCAACATCGATATACACACATGTATTTTCGCGTTATTTTTATATAATAAAATGTCACACCGATAAAATTTCATATTATTTATGTGTAAAAAACATTGACACATATTAATCTCTTAAATATTAAACATCCACATATCTGTATTACAAGCACACATACTTGCATAAATAAAATAATCTTTTAGATAGTAAATCAAACACATCTGATACTGTGCAAAGTAGATAAAGTACTTTTTATCCATTTTTTATACATACTTCTCTGTCTTTTTCTCAAACTAATACATTAATAATACGATGATAAAAATTATACATAATTTTAAAAACATGTACCAAGCCAAAAAATATTCGCAAGACTCACCATTAGCTCGTTGTCGAGCTTCCTCGAGTACGCTTTGCTTCGTCTGCTTGACGACCAACGTCTCAAAGCGAGCATCGTCTACGAGGGAACGTCTTCGCGCTGGATATCCGTTCTGGAAATATAAATAAAGAGAATGCAATTTATATAAAATTTATATAAAACTGTCATATAAGAGTGCGTCAGTAACAGCATCGATTGCTGAGACAGCAATGTTTCTGTATCACTTCTGTACAACCAAATTCTAGAATTTTATTTATATATGATAGAATTATTTTTGTTCTGTTGCATTTTACTATTCACGCACAAGCAATTACAAATTTGACTTAGAACTTTAAAGGACGGATATCCTCTCGCCTTAACTAGCTAGGTTTCACTTTCCGCTGTTCATGGCTACCTTTGACATGAATTCCGGCACGGAAATCTTGCTTGTCAGCTCGATCGGGCGTCACTTAAATCGGATAACGAACAAAAGACACGGAAATGAATTTTCGCGATATCCGTCCTGCTGTTGAAGGATCGGAAATGAATTAATTCCGGTAGAAGATGGAGGGATACAAAGGAGCTTGATCTCCTCTTAGTCTTTAAAAATAGATAACATATATAAAATTTTATTTTTTTATTCTCATGAAAAGTGAATATATTTCATATATAATTAAAAACTTTCAAATATTAATATATCTTTTGTTACATCAAAGTGGATTTTTTTTGAAATATTTATTATTATTTCAGGATTTTATTCATCGGAATAAAAGAAACGTTGATCGAATAAAAATGTTCTAAGAGATGAAGATATTCTCATCTTGGCGAAAACGGACAAGCATGCGCTACCAATCATTCAAATTCCTGGCTGTCACGTATCCAACGCCGTGTCAGGGGCCTAGTTGCATTTTCCAGCAAAGTCGTCGGTTGGCATAGTTTAGAATAAGCGTTTAGCAATCCCTTAACAACGCGCTTGAGTCGTGAAGTGGGCCAAGTACTTCGATGGAATGGATGAACGATGACTATGTCGGGAAATTGCGACATGAGAAGATAACACACCGTAGGAACGGCAAATGCGTGACAAATCTCATCTCGATGAGACGATAAAGATTGGAATTAATTAATTCCCGTCGTAAAGCTTGTGCTAAGTTATCAGCCATTCAGCGTGAATTACGACTGTTGTGCATGAAAATGACGAATATACGCAAATATTTGTCGATTAGTCGGTTGAGGTGACGATAAGTCATTTACGGGGATAAAGGATGGAAACTTGACGCGCGACGACAACTCGACGACGCGAATGTCCAACCGAGCAAACGACAGGTACCGTAGGAATGTTGTTTTCGACCTTGTAGAATCGCACGAACATACGGCCGAAGATGCAAAAGAAACTGACCTCGAGTCAACAAGTCGAGTAATTATCCGCTACACGATGATGGAATCGTATTCGAAAACGAACAGGATCTTTCTCTCTTTATCTTTCTCTCTCTTTCGTTCTCAGAGCTTTTTTTAATATCTAATTAACCCTTCGCTGAAAAAAAAGATTTAATATGCATGTATGTGCATGTATAATGTTATAATTAAAACATGTCAAATTTGATTTTACTGTTAGACATAAGTATATGGTTACTGCAATTGACATTGATAAATTAAATCTGTTTACTCTAAATTGACAGTTTAAATTGATATTTAAATATCTATAGGCGTGCAGTTACATGCAACGGGTGGCTTTTTGATTATTTTCCATTAAAAGTTTTGATGTATTTTATTTGTTTATTATGTAAATAAACGTTCTTAATATTTTTTAATGTTTATAACGTAGCAAATATCAAACAATTATAATGTCAATACAACATGTCTTGTATTGGTTTAGCATTAGAATTATGTTTGCATAATTCAACTCGTTACTGCTAAATTAATAGCAAATAGCAGCGCGACAAGTTTGAGAAACAATTAAAAACAGAAACAATTAAGAGCGAATGGAAAAGCGCGTGTTCTGTATGATAAAATATCGGAAATGATTCGAGTATCAATTCAAACGAGAAGTTCATAAAATCACGGCCGAGATACATAATGCGTTACGCACACATAAAAATCCCACCATTAATATAATTCTTCTCACTTCGGCAGAGAGAAAGAGAGAAAGAGAAAGAGACAGGTCATGCGCGATGATTCGGTTAAAACAGCTGGCATTTAAGTAAAGCAATTAGCATAACGGACACGCATATATAGATGCACATGCACGCGAGTCGCATGTGCCAAAGAATCGTGAATGCAACAAGCGTCCGCAATGCGTGTTCTAAGAGATGAAGATATTCTCATCTTGGCGAAAACGGACAAGCATGCGCTACCAATCATTCAAATTCCTGGCTGTCACGTATCCAACGCCGTGTCAGGGGCCTAGTTGCATTTTCCAGCAAAGTCGTCGGTTGGCATAGTTTAGAATAAGCGTTTAGCAATCCCTTAACAACGCGCTTGAGTCGTGAAGTGGGCCAAGTACTTCGATGGAATGGATGAACGATGACTATGTCGGGAAATTGCGACATGAGAAGATAACACACCGTAGGAACGGCAAATGCGTGACAAATCTCATCTCGATGAGACGATAAAGATTGGAATTAATTAATTCCCGTCGTAAAGCTTGTGCTAAGTTATCAGCCATTCAGCGTGAATTACGACTGTTGTGCATGAAAATGACGAATATACGCAAATATTTGTCGATTAGTCGGTTGAGGTGACGATAAGTCATTTACGGGGATAAAGGATGGAAACTTGACGCGCGACGACAACTCGACGACGCGAATGTCCAACCGAGCAAACGACAGGTACCGTAGGAATGTTGTTTTCGACCTTGTAGAATCGCACGAACATACGGCCGAAGATGCAAAAGAAACTGACCTCGAGTCAACAAGTCGAGTAATTATCCGCTACACGATGATGGAATCGTATTCGAAAACGAACAGGATCTTTCTCTCTTTATCTTTCTCTCTCTTTCGTTCTCAGAGCTTTTTTTAATATCTAATTAACCCTTCGCTGAAAAAAAAGGTTTAATATGCATGTATGTGCATGTATAATGTTATAATTAAAACATGTCAAATTTGATTTTACTGTTAGACATAAGTATATGGTTACTGCAATTGACATTGATAAATTAAATCTGTTTACTCTAAATTGACAGTTTAAATTGATATTTAAATATCTATAGGCGTGCAGTTACATGCAACGGGTGGCTTTTTGATTATTTTCCATTAAAAGTTTTGATGTATTTTATTTGTTTATTATGTAAATAAACGTTCTTAATATTTTTTAATGTTTATAACGTAGCAAATATCAAACAATTATAATGTCAATACAACATGTCTTGTATTGGTTTAGCATTAGAATTATGTTTGCATAATTCAACTCGTTACTGCTAAATTAATAGCAAATAGCAGCGCGACAAGTTTGAGAAACAATTAAAAACAGAAACAATTAAGAGCGAATGGAAAAGCGCGTGTTCTGTATGATAAAATATCGGAAATGATTCGAGTATCAATTCAAACGAGAAGTTCATAAAATCACGGCCGAGATACATAATGCGTTACGCACACATAAAAATCCCACCATTAATATAATTCTTCTCACTTCGGCAGAGAGAAAGAGAGAAAGAGAAAGAGACAGGTCATGCGCGATGATTCGGTTGAAACAGCTGGCATTTAAGTAAAGCGATTAGCATAACGGACACGCATATATAGATGCACATGCACGCGAGTCGCATGTGCCAAAGAATCGTGAATGCAACAAGCGTCCGCAACGCGTATGCAGCGAGCCTCCGAAGGCGGATAACGAGTGCACCGTTCAGGGACTCTTTAGCGTCTCTCTCTCTCTCTCTCTCTCTTACTTATGAGCGGCCTGCTTTATATACACAATCACTCCGCTCTATCATATTTATAACATATTCATAATTATCATGTGCAAGACTCAAGGCCGAAGATCGGTTTTGCAACGGTAGCAGCAACAGTAATCTCGATATCGAGAGGGTGCTACCAGATCTCATTATAGATTCACGGAATAAATCCGCAATAATTCTTTCACAGATTCGCGAGTTACTCTAATAGATTCTTTTATAAGCGGTATTTAAGCAATCAATTGTATAGATGTATCGCAAGATGATTGGTTTATATCTCGAGAAAAACTACTTGCGATAATTGATCGTTTGGACTGTATCAAATCAGATCAGCTGTTAAAAATGTAGATAAAAAATTTTCAAGTATACTATAAATTGATTAATTTAAATTCAAGTAATAAATATATAATAAAGATCTTTAGTCATCAAATTAAATTAGTCGAATATCTGAAAAAGAAGTACAAAATAAAATCCGCATTCAAGATCGGTTTACTTTTTATCCCGCATCACTGTTACTCGCGCGATAACTATCGATTTCGCATAACCGATTCTAGATCTGATCCGGTATCTAGACCCGGCGTTCGCGCACGAGTTCTATTGGAATGAGTCAGACGTCAAACAGATAAAAGTCGAAGCTAAAATGGTATTCGAGGCGAAGAGATACATTTAATCGTATGGAATTGAATATATTAAATTCACGCAACTATTATATGCGTTAATATATTTCCAAGATTTATTGTTTAAAACATAGAAAGATATTGCTTGCCGGAATTGAAATCGCCAGATATTCCCGTACATACTTGCTTTGGAAAAATCTAAAAACAAATATTTTTTTTTTTTTGTTTTCAGGATGTCTACAAGTTTTATTGTGTACAATAGATAATATAATCGCGTTTATTTATTCTATAGATAAATCTTTTTTTTTTTTAAATATCTATGTTTTCAAAATACTAATTTTCTATTTTTCTTTCAAATCCGAATTTCACTTATTAGTAAGTTACGCAATGTCTACAAATATATGTGATTTCGGCTCTCAAAATATACGGAGAAAGTATAAGATTGACTAAGTCTTCACACCAAAGTGATGTATCCTCGTATTTATACAGATGGATGCAAAGAATAAATTATACGACGCTTAGAGGAAGTCTTTCTAGGTTCGAAAAGAAAGCACTGACACTAAATTCGCATACAAACCTATTAATTTACTATCTGATCTATCTAATTTACGTCAATTTTAATGTTATATCATATCCAGAACTATTAAATTCTTAAATTATTTGCGGTAACGGTACTTGGTACGCGTAATATCTCATTGCGTTATATATGAATGAAAAATACAACGTTGTAAAAAAACTCCGATTAATAGTCAAACATAAGCGATTTATAAATTGTTTGCGCTAATGGAATTTTTACATCAATAAATCTCGATCGTTCTCCGGAAAGTTATAATCGGGAATGGAAGTAACGATTATGATGTGTCTTTATCACGGTCGTTAAAGAGATAAATGCGCTATCGCATGAAAAATAAAATATCGCGACCTCTTCGATTATGATCTTTCCGCGATCTACAAAACTTTACGTCGTCATTTACAGATACGCGAATGTAACGAAAAAAAGCAATTGACCTCGTAAGAGTACCGATTATAAGTGGTCGCACGGTCTTATTAGAAGCGAGCAGAAACTGAATCGGCCTTGCTATTGTGACATTTGGATAATCCATGTGCGTTAATCACACGCGATGGAAAGCAAAAAGGGAAACGCGGCAACCTCGAAAAAATATCGATTAAAATCCGTTATTGTGCGATTCTACGTTAAAATGTCGTTACGCAAAGACGAGTCCTTGCGAGCTGTAATTTGCAGGCTAGAAGTATATAAATATAGACGAACACGTGTATTATTACAAGATATCATCGACGATTACAACCAATATTACTTACTCGAGAATACCTATGTAAAAACAATCGATAATTACATAGCTATTTGCAGCCGTTTACTTCCAGAGAAAAAATTCGTCATTAATAATTACACTCGAGAGAATACAAACCGCCGTGGAAATTATGCAAATATGATTTTACGCTGTTGCAAAAGATGTAAACATTCGAGAGAGAAAGGGGTTGGTGTGAAAATGATTTTATGCGATGTGCGCAATATTTGACAAGAAGAAAAAACGATATTTGTCTTTCGACGGGTTTCAGACGACAGGAAAGTAAATTCAAGTCGAGAGACTCGCCGGTTTCTCCCGCGCGTCTTCTCGTAGTCAAAAACAGCTGATTTGTGACCAGCTATTTCCTTATATAGTCTCATGAGAATCATGTTTTTTCGACAGATTGAATTTTTCGTGCTCTTTAAGTGCATCTTGATCTTGCGTCAACTGTTTGCGTCTCTTGTTGTCAATTCTCGAACTTATGTAAATTTATGCATACTAGACAAACTGGTCATTGAACGGAAATCGTTGAGATATCATTGCTATGAGATTATTCCTTTCTTATTACAATTTTTTTTTCATTTAATAATAACTGGAATAAAACAAATCTTGATCTCCTTTGGAGCGATAATATGCAACAATTGAAAATAATTGCACTCTAATTTTAATTTATCAATCATTCGACATGAATTTGAATTAAAATCTTTATGTTATAAAATATAAATATGTAAAATATTCATATGTTCTATAATCTTATAAAATATTCATATGTTCTATGTAAATATTTTTTAAGCAGTTTTACCGTTTTTCTGAAGATCTAGATTTTACGAACTTGAAAATGTCAAGATTTAGTATCGGATCGGTTTTAGATTACTGAAACTGTGGATCATTACGATAAATTTTTTAATTAAACCCATAAAAAATGTGACCTCGGCAATTAAATATTCATTAATATTGCGGCAAGGTCATTAACATTTCGTAAACGATAATAATGGAGCGTATGTACTTTCTCTGCACGCGAGGACTCTTCTCCATTTCGCCGGGCCTACGTGAGAATTTCACTTGCTTTGATCGCCAGTTATTAAGATTGAGAAAGAGCCGAAACGACACACATGCACCTTCAAGAAATTTTCTGACGCAATTCTTTTACACATTTCGAGATATATGTACCGTTAGCCAAGAAAATCTAGAGAATATAAGTATAAGAGCAAACATCTCTATGTATAGAAATCGCATAATTTAGTCAGAACGCTTGTAATCGAGAGAGAGACACACTTCTTTGTATTGAATGTAAACTATAAACATAATTTCTTGATACATAATAATTCTATTGCATATATAATAAAGTTCTAACAATTATGCTCATTCGTTAAAACAGGGTTTCAATAAGGATTCCCAAAATGAATAACTGGGATGATTTTCGGTAATCTTTAAACACTTTTATATATAGATGTCAATGATTTAAATGAACGGCTGTGTTCCCGCGCTTGGGCTATCAAGGCATTTTCGATTGAACCTGTTGCTCTCGACATATACATGAATGCAACAATGAAATTATTTTGACAATAGTAAATGTAGAAATTTCTTGCAAATAATTTGTAAGTATCAAATTTTCATCAAACATAATTTTTTAATTAAAGAATATAAATATATCCAAGCAAAAATAAACACACACACATACAAAGTATCTTATATCAAATATTTTATTAAATAAACGTTTTCTTCAACGTTTCTGTATTTATCTACAGCATTAAATTGTATTTTTTTGATAATTCAATGCTATAGATAAATACAAAACCGACACTTGTAACATTTTCATTCCGATTTTTGTAATATTTTTCTTTAATTTTTTAATAGTGTGTGAATTATTTTCGCCAGGTTTACACATTATTGATACAAGATCAAGGCTTACCTCAATACTGTAAGATTTCTTGATGGCGAACATTTCACGGTTCTTCTGGGCGGCTGCTACTGCCATCATATCTTTCTTGACACTCGTCTTTCCTGACAGATTTCTCTGGTAGCGATTAATATCGGCGGTTTCTCGACTTGACGATCGATCGACTTGAGCGTCTTTCAATCGTCAGTTCTCGACCTGATAGCGCTCACTGATGCGATAAAAGGGGGTTGCAAGTGAGCTCTTCACTGTCGCTCGCGAGAAATTACACGAATAAATTCCTCGTGTTGATTTACGCCACGCGACTTTAATATCCCGATGGTAATGTCCAGCTGCGTCCTCTTCGGTCTCAAACCGTGTTCGGCTGTTACGGTTCGACTACAACAAACGATGAGGACGGTAGCGACAACAAGTCTCCTCTACTACTTAAGTCCGCTTTTAGACAGAGCGTACGAGCGAATGCGTTTACGGGGCGGATTGCCGTCGCATATAAACGTTGCCTCCCTTCACCGCCTGCTAATGCCGGGGTCAGGGGTGCCCCCACCCTATCGTCGTTTCGGGTGGTCCATCGGCAGCAGCCGCCGCCACCACTACTGCCGCCGCCAACGTCGCCGGCGCCGACGTCCCCGGCGCTGCTGTCATTGATGAAGACCACGAGGTGGTTCCTCGTTTGACACTTTCGTAATTCTCACCGGATTTTCGTGAGAGATTGCATTTCTATCATTGAATGATACGGCGCGGAATGTCCCGTTATCGAGACGACGCATTGAGAGAAACTTACGTGAAATCAACCCTGATAAGCAAGAAATTTCTAATCCTACGTGCAAATCGATCGACTCTTTTTAACAAGGAGGGAATCGACTATGTATCAGAGCAAGAATTAATTAATATATATAATTTATTGATATAGTAAATATGCTAAATAATGTTCAATGTGTAATACTTCACATGAAAGATAATGCGGTCTAAGAATTTTAGCGAGAGAATACTATATATATTTTAATAATTAGAATTGGAGTAGTTTGAAGAATATAATTCCCTCGATCTTATATTGCATATGTAATTGAGCAATAAGTCGTGTTTTATATCTTCTGATACAGAGACAAATCCTATAGCAAGCATGCAAGCGCGTGATGTTTCTTGAAACGTGAGTATCACTTTAGGACAAATGATCAAGTTGCCAATATCTTTTTCTGGATGCAAAACCATATTTATAGCTTAAGCTTAAAATACGAGATTTAACATGGCAAAAATTGACATTTCGATAATTTAAAAAAAAAATGCATATTTAAGAATATCGATAAAATGTGTAATTGACAACATCGATGTAACCGATTAAAATGCGTAAAAAAATCTTTAGGTTCTTGCATGATACTTTTAAAATAACATGGCATTTAATTTAATTTTTTAAATAATCATAATTTTTGTTATATACTTGTAAAGACTATTAATTTTTCATTCAATGTTATTTAAATGCAGATAATTTAGGAGTAAAAATAAAAACATTAATCATAAATGTAAAATATTTACATTTTATTAAGATGATAATAAAAAAGGAGACAAAGTGGACATTGAGAGAAAAAATATATATTATCTTTTTTCAATTTAAGTTTTTTGATTATATCGCATATAAATAAAAATAATAAGCACTTTACAAATCAAGAGAGATTTCCATTTCTTCTTTATATCTTAATTTTTGTGCATTAATTCGACATTATACTGCAAAGCTAGCTGTGGAAACAAGTTAAATGGCTGGATTTACCTTGTCTTACATAAACGTAAGTAATTTTTTTTTTTTTTTTTTGCTACTTGACGTGAGTTTTCCTTTAGTTTTGCGCAAATTGTGCCTTAAATGTAAAACCGATCGGTTTCGCGTCGACGTCATCGGAACCTGCTTCTGGCCATTGACGCTTGCGCGATCCCGCATCTCTCACCGATCCTCGGCATTGATTGCGCTGTTCGATCACTTCTGTGCGTCACGCGTTCACGTGCGCACGGACATACGCATGCACGAGTGATCGCTTGTGCACGCAGCCGAGTGATCGTTCGGAGAAAGATCTTCCGAGAGAAAATGCCATGCGTGCGATCGCTTTTTGCGGCTTTCTAAAGACCCGGCTACGTACCAATCCAGCCTCTGTCGCGTGTTCACTGACAATAGTGCTGTGCTCGATGGATTGAGGGATTGTCATGATGAATATTTAACAGCGCCGAGATAGGATCGCCAGCATAATTAAGAACTTGCTCCTTATAATCTGCATAATGGCACGATGTGTACATGAGCGCGCACGCGGAAATACAAAAATGTTGACTTTGCATATTATTGTGCACAGTGTTGCATAACGGAAGTTGGATAGATCCAGAGTCTACGGAAATTTGATTCTTCTTAACTCGCGCGAGATCATTCATTTCAAATGATGATATATCCCTCGAAAAACTTATTAATTGAAATCATTGTGCAAAGTAAAAAATACGATGCTACTATTTGAAACAGGAAGCTATCAGAAAGATATGCCTCGAATATTTAACATATGCATTCGATTCAAAACAGTGAAAAAAAATCGCCGTCAAGATTCGAGAAGAACAATGTACATACTTGGGTATAGACAGATGAATTCGACGAAGTCAATGCGGAAGAGACAATTACAATACTCAGAACTTCCTGATATTTGTCGTTCTGACATTCAAGGTTTTATAATCGACGAAGCCAGGGGCTTACTAAAAAATTAAGTAAAAAAAGACGGACAAAATTTTCGATTAACGGACGATTAATCGTTTTGTCACGATTGCCGATTTATCAGTGCGCTGAAGAAATTTTCCTCGGACGTCATTCATCACGAGTCGCGCCACTTGGAGGCACGAATAGCTGGGAAACTCCCCGAGTAGCCGAGTTGAATTCTTTAGCACTCTCCTTAGCGGTCAATCCAGTTCCGAAGTGTGGATTTCCGAACGACGGGAGTTTCCAACAGTAACCATGCGTCGTCTTCGCCGAGCGAAAGAACCGTTCGTTAGTCGCGACTGTGAATCATGTCCCAAATAATGCGATAATCCAATACAGACACATCACTTTCACTCTATATTCATTAATATAATTTTATCTTCTAGGGAATAGTTAATAATGTTTCACATATATAAAAGAGATAGCGACGCTACGCAACATATGATTAGGCATATAAATAGACAAAATAAATTATTTATTAGAAATTAAATTTTTCCAAAAACAATAAAAATGCAAAAAAGACAAATAATTCTAGTTTTTTTAGTTTTAATTCAACAGTTGGAAAAAACGGAAATTTATTCATTAAAAACACGAAAAGTTTAATATTTTAATTACTTTTAAAATAGCATAATAGATTACAAGAAAATACATCTCGAAAGTCTATTCTATGCAAAAGAAACATGAAAACGAGAAAGAGATAGAAAAAATTTAGTTTATAGACTTTAATCTAAGATTCTACTTAATTCGGTTAGTCCCCATTTATTCGTCATGATTACAAAAATAGATATATTGTGTTGTTTATCGCTTTTATCAAATAAAAATGTTTTGGAGTTTATCCTCTTTACATTAACACTAATCAAGAATATTTGCATACATGTGCAATTTTTTTAATTAATTGATAACTTTTATCAATTGCCTCTAATAATCTCGGAAGTAAAAAAATTAATCTATAAATATATATTTATCATATCAAATTGTCAATTATATTTGTACTCTCTTGAAATAAAACATTACAAAAGTGATAACGAAAAAAAAAAAAATTAAATTAAATGATTAAGCAATTAT